GTGCTCATTGGCTTAGCCCTTCTCTCGACTCTCTTTAACGACAAGTGTTTCGCTTGTCTAGTATACTGAGTTTGGCTTATCGACTTGCGCGCGTCACCCGACTCTCCCGAACTCGACGGTAAGGCATTGACAGAATCGGCTATCTGACACTTGGTTGCTCTGTTTGTTGAAGCTCAATGCTGCACTTTCACGTTATACTTACACCGAGAAGGAAATTTATCATGAGATACATTAGCAAGCAGAAAAGATAGAATTGAGACAGATATACGTGATGATTTCTAAACAAGTTCCAATAAACAATTTGTTAAAATACCAAAGGGTAGAGTTTGCTTAAAAAAAAATTGCGGAAAGTTTTCCTTCGTGTGAACACTACGTAGGTATATACAGCACAAAAATAAAGCTCGTCAACGTATTTCCATTTACCCTATTTTTTCCCCCAGCAAGCTACTAGTAGTATATCCCTTTCCAGTTCAACGCCACGCGTACGAAAGCTCAAGTTCGTAATAAGCATAAAAACAAAGGAAAGCTAAGTAGCATCAAACAGAGCTCATAAAAAGAAAGGAAGATCCTGGCTCCCTCGGCCGAAGTAATCGCATCAAGAAGCAATAGTTGTAAAGAGCCATAGTGACCAGCGAGAGAGCACTATAATACGCGGAAATCGCCGAAGCTCTATGTCCATGAAGGAGCAGCAGCAGTTCTGCGTATACATGTGAAGATCAGCTAATAAAGATTTCTAGATATCGTATCGTGCAGTAATATCGCGTGATCGACAGCTCCGCGCTTTTTCTCTTTCTCTTCTTTCTCTCTCGGGCTTATAAACGAGGGATTCCCTTATGTTAGCCTAACGGCGAACGGATTTGCGTCGATCGACTGTAAAAGACCAAAGCTTGCAAGCGAATGTCGCTCGTTTGTTAGCCCTGAACATTGGAATTTTTCACATGCTTGCTCTCTTTGCTCTGACATTGTGCGCCGACCGAGGATTTGTGTCGAAAGAGTTAATGTTATTGACTTTTTTGCTACTGTGGTTATCGCTAACGGAATTGTGAGTTTCCAAGGAATTAGATTCACTCACTTTTTTCAATCAATGACTTATTAACACGTTTTTTACGTATAAATCGTGAAAATAGAAAGGGAAAGGCATCCATCACCAATACGAGACTTAAGAAACGTAAATTAATGAATACATAAATAAATCTCAATCTATTTGCTATACACACTTTGAAATCAAGACAGAATAATAAAAAGAGGAAGAAAAAGACAATCCGATAGTTGGATATTATTACATCTTCATGTAGGTAAAAAAAAATCATTCAATATACCTTGTATTTTGTTATGGATATATACTATTATTTTTGGGGGAGTAAAAAATGATAAATGATAATGCATAAAATAGCTGTAGATAGTTTTTCCAACGAATATCGCATTCGTAGATATCGGTTTGCTACATTTGTATAACAATCGATTAAATACTGGAGATACAAAGGGTCATATTCAACTAGAATGCCTGGACAGATATATTAAATGCAGAAATAAAAAAAAATCACCGACTGGTTATCGTTTTCCGTCAATGACATTCTCATGCTAGACAAAAAAAATGTCAGTAAAATAAAGTCGCTGTCATATCAATTTTACTACGTGAAACCAAAGAACAAGAAAGATCCATATTTCATTTGTGTGAAAAAATGAAATTCACACTCTTGTCTATTGCGCGCACGGACACTTTATTCTAGTCTCGCGCAGCGTCAATACCCAAAGAGCCCGTGCACTTATACGGCTTTGTCTCTCTTTGTGGCAGTCGAGCTGCCGCTGCTCTCGCTTACGCCGCATAGTCGACTATTTCTCTTTCTCTTTCTCTCTCTCTCTCTCTCTCTCTCTCTCTCTCTCTCTCTCTCTCTCTCTCTCTCTCTCTCTCTCTCTCCCTCTTTCTCTCTGTGGCGCAATATCATCACGCGAAAACTGCGCTCTCTCTCTCGTGCGATGCAAGAATATCGAGGGATATTGCCGAGCGCGTTCCCTTGTGTTTCTGTAACACACGTCCATTTTCTCTCTTTCTGGCGAGAGGCACTTGGCTTCCTGTCTTCCGTGAGGTTTGATGATAACGATAACAAATGGCGCCTTTGCTCTTTCCGAAAAAAGAAAAGACCAGAGAACCTGAATTATTCCGCTGAGCGTTATTTCTTCGCTACGTTTCGGCCTATTTTTCTTCGACTTTCTGTATATTTTTATCACGCTTTCTTGATATGACGATGACGGATAATGTAAGCTTATGTCTCGCTTTGCTTTCCTCGTTGCAAGACAATTATCGAGTGCTGATCGTTCGTCTGACCATTTAAACCTGACCTTGAAAGAGTAATGACGGTAGATTTGTATACTTTGTTGGTTCAATGTACGTTCGATAACCTTAACGGAACATTTGTTCTGAAAGTGTTTATTGAATGATGGATGAGATTGTACCAATGCAACAATTATTATGTTTTATTACTGATATTAATTACTTGACTTTCATTAATAAGTTAAGTCATCATTAATATCATTGTGGTTTTCGGTCAACGAATAATGAAATGTCTTTCTCTAATTTATCGAATTATAACTCAAAACAAATCTAAAAATTAAATTAACGCAGAAAACTTATTTTTCCTACATGGAACCGGCCGCGAGCAAAGTACTTGAATTGACGACGAAACTCAGTTGAAATACTTCATTGTCGGTGCGGCCTCTCAAAATTCACTGCTTTCATCAAATCCATTAGCGTGCCAGAGTAATTTTCCGCCAGTCCAGAGAAGCAATTCATTCACAGTTATGTAAAATCAATAAGTGCTAGTTGCATTTTATTTTAAGCACTATTTTCCAATACAATTCATTTCATTTTCGTTCCTTTTTTTCTTTTATTTCTCACACTTTTTTCACCCTTGGAGACCCGCATAAATGAAAGCTTTCTATTTAATGGCACAGAAATTACGTTAAAGCCAATTATTATTATTCTCGTTAGAAAAGTTTTCCAAGGACTTTATTAAGACTCTTCATCTCTAATTTCAAATAACATGATGTGAATACTATAAAATGGTTTGTTATTATTATCATAGTAAAAAATATCCGACATAAAAATAGTGAAGTATCATACATAAATGAGAAATAAAATCAATAAGAGTTGAAGCGACATGGGAAAGTTAGAAAGCAAAGCAATACGCAAAATGTCGCCTCTCTCGAGAATCTGGAGCAAAACGGAGGGAAATCCCTTGCGTCAATAGTTTTCTTATCGAAACAGCAATCATTGACGGGCGTACGATTGCGCAACGAAAGGTCTGAAAAAAGAGTAAATACACGTGACGTATTAAGCTTTTAATCAGAGCAACTGACATTGCGTAGGAGAAGCATACACAATTGGACGTTAAAGTATATGAAGATGATTTGCTGAGAGATCTAGAGTGTTCGGAAGCATCAGACCTTACAAACGAAAATCGGATAATGAATGTTATTCCAGATGCAGACGTGAGGTAAGAGAGCGAGTTTTTCCTCGAAGCCACAATGGTCACCTAACGCGTTGCACGCGAGCGCGGAAAAGAAAAAAGAGAGAGACGCTGCTGGCAGCACTGATTCAATCGATCGCGAGAGCGGCTTTAGCCTACGGCGAAAGGAACTCAATCAGGTTTTTCCTCGCTGAACAGATATGTGTTGCCACGGAAAAAAGACTGAGAAAGAAACTGACTGAATTTTTTTCTGGAAGCTGCGTAACAGCCCGTTATTGCCAACTACAGCCTTTCTGTTCGACTTCGCACATTTTGGGATTATTTCATATTCCTACTCCGATGGGCTACTATTCTCGCCCTTTTTTTTCTAACAGTGTGCAGTCGGGTATCCGCTTGAATTAGATACAGTTCACTTCTATCTGTACGCCCGACTACAGCAGCCAATTTTTTTTCAAATCTTTTTTCGCATTTTTCGTTGAGCGTTCTGCTCGTTATTTTAAATACGAATCGTTAGTTCGCGATGACGTTCATTGGAATTGTCGGTTGTGTTTTTCAGCCATCAGTCGGCTTCGATGTCAAGTTGATTCAACAATTTGCAAAAAAACACACTTATCTATTTGTTCAAGTATATTGGCCACTGCAGTGACTTCGCGACATGTAGCTTCGGCTGCTGCTTGTGCAGAGTAGGAAAGCGGCTTCTCCCAATATACGATCGTACATCATGGAGCTTTCAGCAGCAGAAATCATGCAGGCGTTCACGTTAATCGATAAATCGCGCGGAGCGAGCGCGCGCGCGTACGGCTCAATTATTATCGGGCCGATCGCGTTAATATGCCTCTGGAGAGAGAGAGAGAGAGAGAGAGAGAGAGAGAGAGAGAGAGAGAGAGAGAGAGAGAGAGAGAGAGAGAGAGAGAGAGTGAGAGAGAGAGCGTGAGGGGGGGGCTTATTGGAAGGCTTTCAAAGCGCTCGAGTTATCTCGGTGAAACTCCTATTAATAACGCCCAGCGAGTTTAGCCATTGTTAAAGGAGAGAGCCACTATCTAATAGCTTCTCTCTCTTCTGTAATGCGTTAAGTTACATCGCTGTTGAAAGTTTCCGAAGGGGGAGGCGTGTAACTATCCGGGGCACGTGATTTCTACAGTTGCCATTTCCGCGCTCGCGCCAATCTTTCATAGAAGGTTGCCGAACGCGGTACGGAATGTACATTTGAAAAGCAGTCAACGCAGTCGAGGCTCTGCTGTTAATTGTTACCGAACCGCTGGTCTTTTATTCATTATATTGCTACCTGTAAGGAGAAAAAGAAGGCGTCCGTCTGTATTGGACTCGTGCTACTAGCTGGAAATTCAAATGCGAGAATTACATTTGTAGTCCGGCCGAAGTACGTTCGTACCGTTGAAAGATGAGAAAGTAGGAAAGAAAAAGGAGCGTAGATGAGATTTGTGTGAGATGGGATTTTTCGAAAGAATAAAGCTGGCGCACTCCACAGGAAGTTTGTGACGAATAAAGTTGTGGAATTGTTTCGTCTCATTGCAGATATACTCCAGATGGTCTCTGGGGCCGAGACTGTGCGACATGTGGACCATCAGCGACGTTCTCTGCTGCACGGCCTCCATATTGCATCTGGTGGCCATCGCAGTCGACAGATATTGGGCTGTCACCGATCTAAATTATATACAGGTTAATTAACGCACGTATCTAGCTGCTGCCTGGCCGAGTCCGCATGCAGAAACACAGCTGCGCATAAACAAGTCCGCGCGAGTGCGCGAGTGCGCGAGTGCGCAAGTGCGCGCTTGCGTGCGGTTCTTGAGTTGATATTGCTGCTTATTATCGCTTCCTTCGCCACTACTCGAATCTGCTTAAATGTTCGGCAAATAAATTCACTTTGTTGCAACGACGAATGACATTGGCCCCCGAGTAGCGCGTTGATTGCCAAGAGATGACATTACTCTTGTAGCAGTGCGTTTACTGCGATTGCCTCTATAAACAGAGGCAATCGCAGTAAACGTACTCCCTTCTTTTGCGTATAATTTGTTTCTCAGGCCAAACAACAGAGCCGAGTTTACTGATGAAATTGACTGGAAATAGCGCTCCCTCGCGCGATTATAATCCAACGAGAGTCTCTTAACGAAAAACCTAAAGCCAGTCCGCGTCGCGAGGCTGAAAGAAGTAGCAAAGAAAAGGAAGCAAGAGCGTCCCTCGTAAAATCGACCGACGTAATGAGAACAAGCAATAAAAGAAACATCGTCGCTGTTGACGTATAATGCGTCCATTTACTCGACGAGAGGAAAACTAATTCCGTTTTTATGAGCGTTTTGATGATCAAATAAGAAGGATAGACTCGGTGTATATAAGAAAACTTTCGTCGAGCGAGAGAGCGACAGAATCGCTAGAGAAAAGTGAAATTAATGGCGTTTATGTAGCTTGAGTAATTGCCCGCGAGAGAGTTGGAGCCTCCCTGATTAATACGGATTAATGCTGATTTATCGTTGATATGTCTAGACGTGCTCTTCCGCACTGCACCGCGTACAAATTAAATTTCCAGGAACATTTATAATGCACCCACCGACTTAAATTACTATGCAACAGTATTATAATAATCATCGTTAAATATACTTGGGAGATATTAATTTGCTTAGCGGCTTCGAATGCCAAACATTGGGCTCATCTCGTCGTTTCACATTGCTGGCAATTATAGAGCCAATTAGCGAGCGATGATTGATGGTAACGAGATTCACTGGAATAATATTACAAAGCGAGAGTATCGAATGATCGATAGCTCTTACGCGAATCATTTAATTGGAATGCGATAATTTCGCTGGATTGCCTGTGTAGCTGCTTGAATTTAATATTGTCCTTTAATGAAAAAGTTGACGAGCAAAGAAATAAGTAAATAAGTGGGACCTTAATCGAAGCTTGGAAAAGAGCCACAGCTGCGAGAATACGATTCAGCCTTTAAGGAGCATTCATTATCGCCAGATTCTCCGGATTTATCGGAGAAATTCGAAGAATTCACGGGGCATCAAAAGGCGCGTTCGTTTCATGAATTCCCATCTCTCTTGCTGTCGCTTGGCTCCAAGTCAAAAATACCCGAAGCACGGATATCATTAGGGCGACTTGGCATAGGTCCTTTGGAATTACATTCGCCGAATAGCACCACCGTCGCCAATTTGATGAGTTCATTCCAGATCGCAAACAGCCGTCAGGCAAAAGTGTCAAGATTATGTATAAACGGCCTAGCAAAAAGTCTGCGCGCGACATTCTAGTGATATTTCCATTCCAACTCCCTTTGTTTTCTCAAATGTATCAATGTGCTATGGAGATTGACTATTTATTTTTCTGTTCAATCTACTTTCCACTCTCTCTCTCTCTCTCTCTCTCTCTCTCTCTCTCTCTCTCTCTCTCTCTCTCTCTCTCTCTCTCTTTCTCTTTATTCTTCAATTTAATTTGTCGGTTGTAGATGCCTTTTCATTTTTGATATTGAAAAACGAAGATTCTGTTGTTCTGTTTGTTCAATTTTTTCGCGTCCGTATGCTTGCTATTTTCTACGTTTGTATTGTTGTTATTGACTGAATTTAAAGATCTTTTTAAAATCTATTCAATCTGAAATAATTTTATTTAATTTTTACAACAAATAAATTTCAAAGTTGAAAATCTATCAACAAATTGAACAAATTTCAATTGAAAATCTATCTAAAATATGTAACGAATGATGGAAACAGTAAACGAAAAGAAAATTATTTTTCAGACGTTGTGAAACCTTTGGAAAACCAACATTTGACAATAGTACATTACTAAAAAAGTAACGTCTTCTGTTAAAAACAAAGCATATCGTGAATGTTTCGGGAAAAAAACATGGCCTAACGCTATTCCAATTGATAAAGGAAAACGAGGATCGACAATATCAGTTTTTCAAACAGAACAGTTGAAAGCATATTGAAACCCTCAAATAAAAGAAGCAGAAAATTTTATTCGTGACATCCCCTCGGCATTCCAAAAAAGTCTGATCCTCTAGCTTGCTTTCGACATTTTTCAACAACAAGGGTCAGAAAGAAAGCTTTCTACTGTTACTAGAACTGGTCGCCCAGCCATCTATAAGACAAGTGCGCGCAATCTTCACATGGGTACACAAAGTCTAATCGCTCTCGGGGTCTGAATTGAATGGCTCGTCTTTCGATCTCGATATCTCCATGACATGCACGTACGCGACACGCACACATTATGAAATTATTTATGGGCTTCCTTGGTATATGTATAATCGCGAATAAATATCACGGATTATCTCGCTTGCGCTATATCTTCATCTCGTGGATATCATATATTGAACATACATCGATCTCCTTTCATTTCTCGCTCCGTTGTGTTTTTTCTTCTATTTTTTTTTTCTTTCCTGGATGCTCGCCTGATATTTACGAAGGGAGATTGGTGTTTTACTGCGTGTGCGCTGTGCGCGAACATATCTAACGTAATCGTATTCATCCAATATACATTCGTCTTGCTGGTCTCGTGCAATCGTGTATGGATTGCAATTTTACATTGGCACACGGCGCGAGAATAAATTTCGCGAAAATACTTGCCCGGGTGAGATGCGGCGCTGGGATATTTCTTTCGGATATTTCATTATTATGATTTTTTCTTTCGAATTCCTGACTCCGCGCACTCGCGTTTAATAATTCCACAGCGCGATCGCAATCCCACATGAGCATTACATTGAAACGAATCTCGCTTCTTTTTTTGCTGCGAACTCGTTGTGCAATTTTATTTTTCTTTCGTTGGAAAAACTCGTTACCCTCTTAAAATTGCAAGTATATTACGGAATAGGTTTGTAAAAAAATTTAAAATACGACCCTTCGATGTGATTACTTTCTGCTTTTTTTTTGTAAAATTTATTGCTTACTACACCGACTGGTAGTATGCAAAAAATTTGAATTAGCTTTAAGATATTGCGCTGTAGCCAAGCAAACTCATTTCTACATGACGTGGAAATATTATCAGCTGATATGTTTAATTGATGTACTTCATTTCAATTGTATTTATTTGAAATGCATGTGATGATAAAAACATGCTAAAGAATTGCTTTTTTTCCAATTTCACTGGACAGGCGCGGAATCCACGGCGCATAGGCTTCTTGATAGCGGCCGTGTGGATAGTAGCATTGGGTGTTTCTCTGGCACCACAATTGGGTTGGAAAGACCCGGGCTATTTGGATCGAATCGCCGAAGGAAGATGCCTAATCTCGCAAGACCCAGCCTATCAGGTAAGAAGCGAGCCGCAGAGCAAATATATACGAATCGGCCACTGTCGCACAGTTTTATTGACATGAAAATCTGCTCAACCGTGTGAGTGTATAGAGCTTATCGATTGGCGGCTTGGGAGACAGTGCAGTGGCGGGCGATAAATGGTGTGCGCTCGTCTCGCTGTAAAACGGAGAAGTTACTCGATTGTGTGTGGCCGAAGCTCTGCGGAAAATTCGATTGGAGTTCCACTTTTGTCTTATGGGAGATGCCAAACGGAGCCGAAGAGAAAGAGAGAGAGGGAGAGAGTAAAAGAAAGAGAGCCGTTTGCACGTACTTCGTGCACGACCTTTCTTTTTTATTTATGTTTAATGGCGCGATTCCTTTTATTGCTCTTACCGAAACTACTAACGGGGTTTTGTTGGATCCTCTCGCCAATCGTAGATTGCCACTCTGTCTGTCTGTCTCTCTCTCTCATGATTGGAAGCGTTAGGGTATTTACACAATGTGTTTTTAATTATTCCGAGTATAGAAAAAGAAGAAATATTGCATCATTAATGTTTTAAGAGCCTCTGATTGCTCGCTTAAACTTACTGAATGCTCTTATCTTTGTCTTGTTTTCATTCCGCATGAACCACTAAATATTCATTTGATTTTTCGATGAGAACGATTTATAGAATATTGCTGTGTTAACAAAAAAAACGTGTTTTAAAAGGTGATCAATCAATAGGTTGTATTTATAAAATTAAAAATTATCAAGGAAGTAAGAATCGAGGAAAAGTTAGGTTGTACGAGATCACTAATCAATAGGCAACGAAATCAGTCTTTAAGATTAGAAATCCAAGTTGAAATTGCCTTCGCCTCAGGAGATGAAATTTCAGTTTCTTAGTGCTATATAGGTTGGACGCCTCGCGCATCTATTACAAGTAGGCGTCAACTTCGACACGGCCTACGCTTCCTAAGTTTTGCGCCTTGTAAATAAGATTATTTTCCAGACAAACTCGCTGATTGGAGAGAAAAGCTCACGCATCTATCGGATAAAAAAGAAAAAGAGGAGACGCTAGCACATCCCTTTTAATGGATTAGACTCCTAGAGAAAAGAGAGTCGACGTATCGAACCTCTGATGGAATTATCGGCAATTCTCGTCTCTTTCTCTTTTTTCCGCAATTCTCGGCTCTACTTTGCCGGAGGGATGCGCGTATAAAATTGACAGCTAACCTGAGAGAAAGCAACGGTTCGACTGATTTCCACTGCCAAATACGCGTGTCAAGGGATTGCTGCTGGATTGGATTTTTGTTCAGGCTCTCCGAACAATGTTTCGACGTACCTTTCATTTCCGAATGCATTATATTAGAGAGGAAGGGAGATCAAGTTTTCAGAGGAGAAAAATGTTTGCGATCGTGTTTTAGATATGAGGATTCTTCTTCTTCGTTAGTTGATATTATCTAAAGTAGCTTGCTTCAATTTAAGTTTGAGATTGAAGGGAGAACGGGTTTTCCGTCTCGACAAAAACGCGAATTGTAAGCGCTTGCACATACTATTTCTACGTTATTTTCGACCGAATAAAGTTGATAAAATACATTTTTAAAATTCAATCACTATAGACTAATGAAAAAGATGAAGAAGAAGTAAAGCAATGACATTTTATCAATATCAAATCTTTCCTTCTTTTGCAGATATTTGCAACATGCGCCACATTCTACTTACCACTGCTAGTAATCCTCTTTCTATACTGGAGGATATTCCAGGCGGCACGAAGACGAATACGTAAGCGACCGGGAACTACAATCCAACCGCCACGCGAACGTCGAGGAATTCTCAGGCTTGTCAGGAAAAGGTTGACATTTGTCTTATTTACATATAACAAGACATGCTTTAGCCTGTCGTTTAACTTGATTTGTGTAGGTGCGTTTTCACGCTACTCACTTATAATATGATTGACTAGTGATTGATTGAGTAATTTACAGAAATGCATTTTCCACAACTACAGATCTTTTTGAACACTATTAGTTTGTTCATTGTTGCGATATTTCAGAAATAAATTAATTTCTTTTATTAAACCAAAAAAAAACTCTAAATACGAAATTTAACAGTTTATTACTAAATTATTGACATAGCCACACTAAACTATTTTTATGTCTACTTTGTATACATTTTTGCCTCTAACATCAACTACTGTATATCAGTTCAGTAATTCCATCTCACTAGTGTAAAGTGACAGAAACTAAATAAGCATCTCTCGCATGTTACATTTGCTTGTTAATTTTCATAACTGAGAGTTTCACGACATCTAGGGGTTATTTATATGTATGAATTCCTTGACATCAGAGACCGTTTTCAGAGGTGTCTCAGCAAACAAACGATCAAGTTGACACTTGCTATTACATTGGAACATATTCTTGCTATTTCTTCTTGGTGCATGTTTTTCTTATATACTCTTGGTCTCGGAGAGTACGAGTCCACTTGTTTCTATGAATTGTTGTTCAACTTGGAGAATGAGCATGGTGGCAGTTGGTCCGATCAACTGAACTAACAGAATCATTCCCTAAAGTTCGCGTACAGTCCGATCAGTTCTCTCCTCTCTCTTTTTGTCTCCATCTCCATCTCTACTTCGAAGGATTTTCTCTGAATTGAATTAGAAGGAGAGAGAGAGAGAGAGAGAGAGAGAGAGAGAGAGAGAGAGAGAGAGAGAGAGAGAGTTGGAGATGCAGACATTGTTTGCTTGCTTCATTAAAGTTTCAGAGAATTAAAATAAATGGACCTGCGCTTGTGCTCTCTCTGTCTCTCTCCCTCTCGTTCTCTCGTTTCGAGTTTTCAATCGACTGAAAATTATTAATTAGTTTTCGACCACAGCCGCGAGCTTGGCTGCTCGGCTGTTCATAGAGTGCTCGAAACGCTGCAGATAATTAAAATTTTGCGGAACCTAATTATCAGGCGAAACGGAACTGCATTTCTACCAAGATTAATTGTTCTTTACACAAAGCAATCGGCGTGAATGTTGCGATGAAAATAACAAATACTTTTACGTATAGTCCACGAGAGGAGTCAACCGCCTTCACGATAACCCGCTCGACGCCGGATCACTCGTCGGTTTCACCGGAAAAGTCGTCATCGCATAATGGAGCCAATGCACCGGCAGCAACGACTGCACCAACGGCAGAGACAGCCTCGGCAACAACGCCAGCGGTAGCGCACACAACAGTGATGACGACTACAACGCTGACGTCGAGCAGCTCAGCCACGACAACGATGACGACTACGACGATAACGGCATCGACGCGAAAGACGAGGGAGACTATCGAGGCGAAACGCGAACGTAAAGCAGCCAAGACATTGGCTATCATCACCGGTGCCTTCGTCGCCTGCTGGCTACCATTTTTCCTCGTGGCGCTACTGCGAGCTGTTTGCGGTCCGTGCCAACCGCCCGATCTCGTCGACAGTGTGTTCCTCTGGCTAGGCTATTTCAACAGCACCCTCAACCCTGTGATCTACACCGTGTTCTCGCCCGAGTTCCGACAAGCTTTCAAGAGGATACTCGGTATCGCGCCACCAAGGCAGGCACGCTGACCGACACTCACGGCAACCTCCACGCTTTAAAGGTTCGTTGCACGTTTCTATTTTCTCTTTTCTTTCTCCCGAGTGTGCTCGACGATCGATCGGTCGCAGCTTTGGGATTGTCAACATGGTAGTTTGGGGCTTTTCAGGTTCCATAGCTTTTTCTATTGCTGTTCTCTGACGCGGAGTTTTGCGTCGCTTTGATTTTTCTTTTTTCACAAGCGGAAGACAAAAGGCTCGTTGAAATCAGACTCGATCGCTGTTCATCGGATTAAATTAGAATTCCGCATGAATTGAAAACCAGAGAAAGCCGAAGGGCGTATAAGCAAAGTGAAACGAAGAGTAATTAGACCTCGACGCTGAAGTCGCGCCGAAGATTGAAAATCGAGGACAATCAATAAAAGCAATAACGAGCGTTAACTAACCGAGCTGCGGATCGGCGCGTCGGCGCGTTGGCACGTCGAGTGTTATAGCCGTCGGCCTGGCTTGATGATCCCTCATCGCTTGTGCTTCGCACCGTTACAGAGTGAATTAAAATTCAACAGATGAGCTCGCAGCTTCAATCTCTATATACGCTTCGTCTCACTCTCGCAGCCGCCCGAGCGCAGCTGTAATTGCGCTTGAGCGCTCGCCTAAACTATGCGCGCATATGCGTACACATGCATACGAGCCCAAGTCGTCGTAGCGCGTGATTACATGCGGCTGCATGAGTGAACGCTTCAAGACATGTATCTCGAGCGCCCATGCATTTTGATCGATCAATTTACCAAGTGTACGCGCGTCATCCTACGTATTTCACAATTTTTTCTTTTTGTTTTTTCGTATTTTCGAATAAAGCCAACGAGATAATATCTACTTCGTCTTTTGTTTCCTTTGTTCGATATTGGCACGAGAGGAGGCAGATGTGTGACGTGTCTCCTACTCTCCTCTGCCTATATAGGCGAGGCTTCAATGTTTTTGCTGGGATATCGTGCTGTGCCGCGTGTCATTATCGACAACCGATCAAAATGGATACGATATGCCCGCCAGACTATTAATTGCGTTTTTTTTTCGTCGACATTTTCATTGTCACTCGATTATTTTTAGCGCTTATAGACGTATCGTGCAATCGACGTCGAGCTGCGTTTGTTTTTCATTCTTTTCATTTGACATTTGCAGTGATCTATCAAGCTGTCGCGGCTTGCTTGTTTCTTTTTTTTTACATGCATTTTTCAATACTGTAAACGAGATTCGTTATGTACGGTAGATAACATATTTCATTTGTGTCGAGCGTGCCAACTGCATAAGCATTAACCAATTATACATTTTCGCCGTCATGCGTGATGCATTATATTTTTTATTTTTATCTGAAAATTCAATCAATATGCCCTTTAAATAAACTACATCGTACAATTAAGTATTAATATTTTTATATAGGAAAGACAAGCAAAAAATTCGTTCTGTAAGAATGTCATACTTGTACGCAACAGATTTTGCTAGAGATAAAACTACCATTTGAAGTTAAAGTTTGTCGTTTTATATTCTTTTTTACTTTTTCAATCCGTCTACTATTATACGTAATATAGATAATCGATAGCTTTTACGTTGACGATTATACGGTTTGGCAGCTAGAACAGTTCAACAAAGAAGCTGACGCCATAAAGCTGTAAATTATAATCGAAGGAATGGGCGGAGCTTCTTCATTCACTATTATCGACGCCGATAGCGTAACAAACGTACGATCGCTTTTTGTTGCAGGTCCCTCCAGAAGGGACAAATATGCCGATGAACTGTAGCAGACGCAGGCTTATGGACCACCTAGAACCAGAAAAATGTTTACCCCCTGCTGCCGTCGACCGGTGTGTGCAAGGGACAGTATATCAAAAACTCAGCAGCGGCAAAAGGAGACAGTAGCGAGGCGTCCCGGGCTCGGCTTATAACTTGAAAACTGCATAAAAGCGGCAAGACTTTAAGAAAATAAAGTTTATGAGGAGGACAGGCGACTCCGATTTCTTAGAAAATAGAGAAAGCCTAGATAACTTGGTGCGCCAACATGAATTCGCAATGAGTCAACCGCCGCATCGTTGCACACTATGCGCTTTTTTTTATTCTTACGCGCTAACAACGACCGAAAGCTTATTTTTCTTGTTTTCTTTTCCTCGAAATAAAACATACTTTTCTTCTCGTCACGACGTGTCCACCTGCTACTTTGAGCCCTGTAGCTAGGACTTGGATATGACGTCACGGCTACTTTGAGAAACTGTAAATCGTTACATTTTTTTATGGTTCTTTTTCACTGCAGCTTCAAAATACATAGACCACGATTACACACGTATTATCACACAAGTCCATTGACTTTCAAACTTTCCGTTGAAGAAAGTTTTTGTTTCGACGTTCGCAGGCGAGTAGACGGCTAAAACTTCTATTGAAAACGATACGTACATACACGCCGTGGAGAAAAGTTGAGCGCTTCGATGGCATAGAGTAACAAAAGAATTCTAAAGTTAAAAGAAAAAAAATTGTTAGCAGTGATAATACACACACATTCGGAACGATACGGGAGTGTAATATCAAGTCATGTCTTCCGACAGAAGACGAAGAGAAGGTAAAGAATAGAAAATATAAGTATCGTAGTTAGTAACTTTTTTACGCGTCCTTGGATAGAAAAGGCAAATGAATTTTCTGCGAAAGAACGGTAACAAAATTATTCGCGCATATCGTTGCGTTCAAGCACAGACATTTGCAGAGAAAGGGAGAAAAATACCCGCATTCGTCGCGTTGGATCATAGATATCGCTAGTTTAAGAACGCGAGGAATGTCAATACGTAAGGATCATATGGTATTACAGCAAGAGCCGCGCGTAGGTGTGTGAAGGCTTTCAATTTGATGAAGCCACATCGCGCGCGTGCCCTTCGGTCAGAATAATAAACTTTATCGCCTAAATATAGGTGCATGTTGCATACTCGTAAATAGTATTCTATACACAAAGCAAAATTATCGATCGAAACGACACACGCTTATACAGCAAGGCGCGTCTTCTGCACGTAAACACGACACACTAAGCAGTTGTGCGCGTCTTAACTATTTGTTATTACACGAGGCGGAATCACTTGTGTCACACATCGCTGAGAGCTTGGGGGTTTCGCTTTTTATAATTCATATATAAATATGTTGTGTGTGTGTGCGTGTGTGTGTGTGTGTATGTGTGTGTGTATGTATGTATGTTGTGCGCGCGCGTGTGTCCGTATAAAAAAGTAGATATCGAGCAATTGAAGAATAAACAAGAGATTTTATCCTGCGAGAAACTGCGTTTTTCCCCCTGTAAATAATTCTAACGAGCGTTATAGGTTTTTAAAGAGAATGCGAGATCGTTGTTGTTTCAGGTTGGCCATGTTGAATTCAGAAACATTTAGATAGTCGCGCGCGCGCGAACTTTTATCTTTGACAACAAACCTCCGACATCTTTCCGGTGTGTATATATATATATATATATATATATATGCGTCTGTATAAATTTTAATACACACACACCTGTACGTACGAGCGACGCGCAAGCTTTGAACTACGAGCGGCGCAGCTTGGCTTTATTGTTCTAGTGCGAGGCGCGAGGCGCAAACCGAGACAGAGACAGAGACAGTGAGGATGTAAGTTTAAATTATTACGCTTACACGACAGCAGCCAACCGGAGGAGGCTCTCCTAGTCTCTCTTTACTCGCCGTCGCCGCGCGGCAAAATGCAAACTAGATCGCGCGAAAATGTCGTTGAGTTTATGAATGAACAAACAAAAAAGTATATATAACGTAAATATTATAACTGCGACCACCTGATCATATAAAATTATTATGTCTCGATCAAGCGAATCGCATTGTCAAGACACACATCGTTCAAGTTTCAAAGAATAATAAAATAAAGTATCAGGCGGAAATTACGAACAAACGATTGTTGTCATTTGCAACCTGCAATCCTGCTCTTAATCCATTTTCATTTTACATTAATTAATTTCTTTCCATGTGAAAAATTGCATCGGAGAATAATAATTTTTACATTTTAAGAATTTTCTTAGTAATTTGCCACGCCGTAATCTTTTCAACCGGCATAGTTATCACGTTGAATTTTAAATGTCGCACTGCACAGTCCACGGTTTTCCGGAATAATTATCATTAATTTTTGTCAATACGATTTCTACAAAAATGTCAGCATTTTAATTTGTGAAGTTCCTAATTTTTATTTATTTATGACATCTTGGAGTAGCTATCACATCAAGGCAGTCTTTTTCCAGTCAGTCAGCGTACTTCCATTCCACAGGTGAGTTAGAACCTTATAAATTAGACTGTCAAATGTTGTTTCAGTGTGATACGTGAGCTAAAAAAGCACGATAATAATAACTAATAATTAATTAGTTCCGAGTGCGTAACGTATCGATTGAAATGACTGAGCAATAACCGTTGATTGGCAGAGGCAGTAATAATGAAAACATTACGTAAGTCACGGACGCAAGATAAGCAGATTAAATTCGCATTGAGATCGGTCTCTTTCGCTCGATGTCCTCGGCTCAAACATTTTCTAATCGCAACGTTTCACCGAATTCTATTTCGGAAACGAGACAAAGTTGTGTACGACAACTTCATGACTTCGCCGCCTCATTGAAGTCCGAACAATCCCACGTCGGAGAAGAATAAATCTTTCATCACAATCCTTCGCACCATCCATTCTCGATCGCTTCTTATCAAATCCGGGTGATAGTGTCACCGATTGCCGCCGCCAACGCTTTCACCTTTCTATTGACATAATCCTCAATGTACAATTGTTTAATAAGCTAACCATCATGTCATCGGAAAGTGAGAGATTAATTGGCATTTATCGTTCCTCACTGTCAATAAATAACGTTCTTCTTTATACTACTCAAGAGTTGTGAATTTGATCTTTCCAAAATCCGACTTAGCTGATGTTTTGTCATCTTGTAATTTATTACCGGCTATTCCTAAGCTTATATATTTATATATTTATCTCCATGACACCTCAATTAAATATTTATAGGTGTAATCGATTTTACAATTGTAGCTGATATAATTAACCTAAAGATGTGAATTAAAAAATGATCCGAGCCGAGGTACACAAAAGAAAAGATTAAGAGAGGGACAGCACGAGGAAGGATTCTTCTTGGTTTCAAAAAGAGAGATTAATGTCTCATTAGCAAATGAAAAGGTTCATTGTTTAACTTTACAACATGTGCTTCATTCTGGCGGCAGGAAAACATGAAAACCGAAAAGTAGCCTTGTCAGATTTCTGCCAGTTTATCGGCCTAATTTTCATCATCGTCCAAGATTGCAGATGTGAGCTTCTGGTATAAGAATATAACCTTCAGGAGGGTGAATAAGGACTTTCTCCCCTTCCACCTTTGCGGATAAATTGGCCGGTTTATTCCGCTCACGCCATCGGCAAGTATAAAGATTCCAGTTGGTTCAGCAAAGCTTATTACTCTCGAATGAGAGAGAGAGAGAAAGAAAATGAGCAAAAGCACCCAAGAAAATCCCTTGGTCCTGTTATGACAACTGAATTTTCTTTGTGCGCGACGCGCCAAGAATTTCTCCTTCTATCTATTTTTTTGCTTTCCTTTTGTGCGTATAGTCGAAAAAATTGTTATATATGTGTGCGCTTATGAATCGATGGCTTCTTCGTCGACAACTGAATTTGGTGGGAGGCTTGAAGAATGAGCTTATTGACTTTGGTTTTGGTTAGCCTGCTTCTCTATTTCTTTCACTCACTTGTGCGCGCGCGCAAGCATACTTTATATCTGTGCGTGCATTTCCCATGTGTACCTATGAATTCCGAGCACGAAAATTTCTGCTTTGTTCGCTAAAGTCTCATGCTGATGTCTCCAACGTTTTCGTCATATAATGAAAATTTTTATTTTCTCTTCCTCTCTCTCTCTTTCTCTCTCTCTCTCTCTGACCCTGTGAGTATGTTTTTCTTGTATTTCAATAAACTTTTCTATTGCATTAATTAATCCAACATTCATAACTTGTGTCATAAAAAAATCGTTGATATAAATACAAGAAACAGACAACGAATAAAATGTTGATACAAGTTCAGCTTGAAAGAACAAACATGAATTTATTGACATGTCAGTACTGTCGAGATTTATTTTCGAAAATCTGAAAGAAAAACATTTCAGGAAAGCCATATTTCATCTTTTCGAAGAGTGTATTCGACTTAATGAAAGTCCAGTCGAAAACACATTAATTTCAGCGCTGATATAACGCGTCGTCAATATACGCAACGTGTATAAAAGCTACTAAAACCAAGATATGAGAAGAAATAGTCAATGTTTAAATTCTAATGCGTATATTAGAATAAAGTTTCGTGAAGAAAATTACATTTAAAAATTAAAGTCTACGTTGCATAGTGTATGTTAGTGAAAAATCATAACGTTTCCAGAAAAAAGGATCGTAGTGTTTGTTATCGAGTGCATGGTTTGATGGTAGGCAATTTTGATTTCTCTCTCTCTCTCTCTCTCTCTCTCTCTCTCTCTCTCTCTCTCTCTCTCTCTCTCTCTTCGGAAATTTCAACCAACAGCCGGCGGCTAGCTAGCTGATAGTTGAACCACCTTAACCCTTCGGCATGAGGCGAGTCATACATTTTTCGTGGTTGGCTGGTGCACACGAAAGTAAAAAAGAAGGATAAACTGCAGCTAGTTTCTTCCTATAACAAAAAAAAATTAAAGAGAAAAGCTACAGGACTGTTTTATTGGTGTGACGTCTACATGGTAGTAATCTTTTTTTTTCTCTGTCTCTCTCTTGGACAACCTTATTTTTCAATTTTTTTCTTTCTCTTAATAAAGTTTGTATATATGTGCAAACGCGCAAGCATATTTTTCACGTTAGGATGATTGATTTCCTTTAACCGTTTACGTGCGCGTTCCTTCTTCGCTTCTCGTTGCTGCGTTACTTTCTCTCTCGCAGAGGCGAGATGTTCGTAAAAAGGGAGAGGCGATAAAAAAAAGAAGAAACTACTTGGATGGCTAAGCATGTTGAGGATATCGGGTGAAAAGCGAAAAGCATTTCATTCATTAGTTAAGGTTCAAAGAGTTTTTACCAGGAAACTCAGGGATAGTGGATCTCTTCTGACCACCAAAGTTGATCTCGCTTATTTTGAACTTCGTTCTCTAGCTCTTTCGTTAGTCTCTTCCACTCATGAAAAATTCATCGAGGCTTTAAATACGTAGAAAAAAATATATTGGAGCCGCACCGGTAAGTTAAGGATTTATTTCTCTTTTTCCTTCTCTCACTGAGCTCTAATTGCTAAAATGATTGCTACATGCCCGGTCTATGCATTTTTATTTCCATAGATTTTCGACCAAATGGGCATTCACGTTAAATCAATGTTTCTCTGAAACTTCTAAACTATTTTCCAAAAAAATATCATTTCACTCCAGAAAATAAGATAAGTAACAAAGAAACACAAATCCAAACGGCACCCTTCGAATAGAGAAAAAAAGAGAAGATGCAAATGGGAAGCGATAAAAGGTGGCAGAAGTATGCTGGCGACCACTGCCGCGGCAACAGCAAGAACGTCATCAATAGTTTCGGCAACTCCGGGTCTGTACTTCTCTCTCTTTCATCGGCAGCGAGCAGTCTTTCTGGTACGATAAGCCGGATGTTTAAGAGTGCACGAGGGACCTAAAAGCGCCAACAGGCAGCTGTTCTCTCTCTTTCTCTCCCTCCCCCTTTCCCTTCCTCTCTGTCTTATGGCTAACTCGATTGCCTCTGAGAGAGAGAGAGAGGGGGGGAGGGAGGGAGAGAGAGAGAGAGAGAGAGATCTCCGCAGTTGTAAAGCGTAAATTTATTATCGCGCGAGTGCAGCAAGCTACCTAGTGCCCGCAGGCTTGTAAGGTTCTTTCTTTCAACTTTATCTCACCCCTACCAAATTCCCTGCAGTATCTTCTCTCTTATTTCTCTTCCTTTTTGGTTTCGCCCGATCCCTCGCCCTTCAGGGAAAGTAGAAAATCACGCAATGGGCGTTAATCATGCAGTAAATGAACACCGAATGAAGTACACAGACTCGTTAGTGTACTCGTAGGCAAACCTGATTGAACAGACTAGCAGTTGGATTAACCAAATGTCCGGGGCAAAAACTGTAGAGAAAGAGAGAAAGAAATCTCTTATAAATAATACATCGCATGAATAATAAAAATTGATCTGGTATACGTGCAACGAGGAAAGAGAGCCACCGCAGGCTTACTCTTTGAGCGACCGCATGATGAATACGCTTAGCGTGCTGATGTGTATACCTACCTTTACGTTGAGCTGTGCTACTGAAATCTCCCACAAGCAAATGCATATACCGATAACCTACCCGGATTTGTCTTATATTACGATGGCGCATGCACATTTACGTACCAACTACTTAGGTACTTTTGTCAGATTTCTGTGGATAATATATGATGGCGTGCATAATCCGCCTGTATTTTGAAATTGTTAAAAGAACCGAAGTCAAAAAAGAGATTTTTACAATTTAGTTTGTTGGTACTCACTTTCGTTTAGTTTTGAGTTAGCTTTTTCGTTACCTTCAAAACTCTTAAATATTGTTCTTTATTAAGAGTAAATACGAAATGAATAAACGGTGAAAGTTTCAATTCTATCTCTTCAGTTCATCACTTGTATCAGATAAATATGTTTCAAATCAATTGTATACACAAATTTAATGAAAAATTTGACTGACAAGTGAATTAGGTATTCATAGTTTGTGCAACAAACAATTAATGGACTATTCTACGAGAAAAGCTGCCTACTTGTTCAACTTCATTCCTACTAGTATCTAACGTAAGCCCATCGTAGGTGTATTAAATTATCTACGGATCAAGCGTCGAAGAACGACAAGGACGATGAGAAAAAAGATGAGAGAGAATAAGACATTTTCC